GCTTTTGAATCCACCTATTAGATAAATGCTGTATACCAACCGAGAAGTCCTTAGCTAGTCTTCTTTCCAACTTGCATTTCTCCTCGTGTTTTAAAGGTGAGGAAGCAAATTTGGTTTCACATTCAATTCAATTCAATCCAATTCAAATTCACCTGAAGAAAAACAAGGAATGGAATAATCACAATACGTATGTGAAGAGAACAATATCAAGAAAACAAAGCCTTTCAGGTAATTCAGGCCAGTTGGGTTGGTGCGACAGCTTACTCACCTGGCTGTACTGACTGCATGTATATCCTGCGCAACGGAGATCCTGTCCTGTAGCGTGAACTCCAAACCATCCTGGAGCGCCACGAGCCTGGCACTTATCAGTGCATGGTCGCGTCCCTGACGATGGTCCCCGCCAGAAGGGAAGTAATTTCAACGCCCGGGCTTGGAACCTGCGTCAGGAAGGTAGTCGTCAATACCGGGAAAATTCGTCCGCCATTTGCCGTTACGAAACTTCCAAATTCAGCATCTGCAAGCTCTCATAGCGCCTGATAGGTAGGCAACATCGTCCCTGCAGTGCATACGTGAACTGCGGGGTGGCCTATCCTGAGTCTCGCAGGCGCCGAGCAACTATACTTTGCCGAATGAAACGCAACGCATGGAGGTCAAGATTCAATGCAAGCAGAACAGATATGCGAAGTAGCAACTGGAAGTCCACGACCGAATTCTACTGAAGAGCAAAGTTTAAATCCTTAACTGATACCACCCTTCCCTCACCACATCAAATATTTCTGAGGGAATGTGGGAAAAGTTACAATGTTACCTCATATATAGTTTCAATGGCCAGACCTTGGTGTGTTCTTTAGAAATGGCTCGCCCAGACTGATGCCGTCCTTGGGTTGCTTGACATGTAGATCAAAGTTCTTTTCTGAAAAGAAACAATAGCAAGAAAAAGATCAAAGAGAGTACTGATAAAATTATCGAAAACTGTTTAGACTGAGTATTTTAAATTAAAACAATACAAAAATTAAGATAGGTCACAACAAGGAAAAGGAAAGAGAAAGTTGCCTCAAAGATTCAAAAACGTCAACCTGATTTTTGTTGTTAAGTGCAATGACCAAATACAATTAATAAAACTGAGATGCTGCAAAATATGTTATTTTCATCTGACTGTAATGTTGTATCACCATAAGAGAAATAACAGATAACAGATCTATCTTACACAGGTTATTCCTGCTCTCTGTCATTTCAAAAATGTTTCAATAATCATATTTTGCTATAAATGCTACTTTAGTGGAATAAACAATGACCAAACAGCATAAATAACCTTCCTGAAATGGATCTGTTATTTGTTATCTGTTTTTTCTCTTATGGTGATACAGCCTTTAAAATGCTGTTCAGAGAAAACAAAACTTACAAACATGTAAGATTGGATTACAAGGTCAGGCAACAATGACTGTACATAAAATTCCCGTAGATTCGAGAGGGCATACTTACACAGCTGGTGTGGAATTCCAAATGTTTTCCAGCTTGCATTTGTAGTTTTCCCAATGGAGGGAGTGGTGCAATGGAATTTAACTGGCAAGTAGATAGGGTTTCATCACAGTATTGTTCTGGAGAGCTCAGCAAAAACCCCTAAGTAAAATTGGCGTCCACCTGTCCTGAAAATTAAAAACGGAACACTTGGACACTAGAAAAAACAAACAATGGAATTGAAAAAGAGAAAGAAACTAACCTCAAGTGATATACTGCTAGTGTACATTGAGATGCACAACTAAGGACGAAAGATATTTACACAGCCTTTCAATCCGAGGTCTTGAACACATTGGTGTTGAGGGTGCAACAGCGTGAGATGCAATTCAAGTATTCCTTGCGTTGACAGAATTCTATGCAGGGCTTCTGTTGTTGCAGCACACTTGATAACCTTACAACTCGCTGGTTCGGTCCACCTGAAAGTTAATAGAACAAATTGAAAGTACACAGTCTGTCACTCCAAGGATTTCTTCCAAAGAAAATAGGCATAGGAAGAATAAGAATAGTTTTAACAGACAAACACATTTAACAGTAAATTCTGATTTCATAAGGTAAACAATTAAAAATGGAATAACTAGGAGAGGGAATCGAGAATACATATCATTCACAATACTGACAAAACTCATACTTACAGAGAACTTGAAAAAGGGTTCGGACGTCGTCTGCGGACCCTAGACCGGTATTGTAGCCAGGTGGCGACCGCTTCCTACTTCCCGCGCGGTAAATTTGAACCCTTCCGCTATATATTAAAACATTCAAAACATTCAAAAAAATTAAAAAAGAGATATGTATTCGCATACACACTTCAAACAAAGTTTGTAGTACCAGTACCAATCAAATGGGTGGATCCTACCCACTCTTTGCGCCTCAAAATATTCAATACCGCCCACCTGCAATGGAGTGGTCGTGGGGGGCCTCCTGGAACACGTTGTTCGACTCCTTTCCCGACGAGCTGCATTGATATCCGAGGTGACCTCGGAGGTATTCGCCCGCGAATCACCCTCAGTCTCAACGTGCAGCTCGCGGGGGAATGGACTCCGACGACGAATTCCACGAGGTCCCGCACGACCGCCCCATAGCGGATGGGGATGGGGGAGTTGAATACTATGAAGGGCAAAGAAATGGTAGTAAAATCTATCCATTGGATGGCTACTGGTACTATAAACAGAGTGTAAATGCTGCAACTGGAACTACCCACTACCAGTGCATCCAGCACAGAACATGTCCGGCAAGAGCCAAAAGGGAGCAAGGTGCAGGGCACCTAGAAGCAACGGTCAGTGGGCACGACCATCTAAGCAATCCGAAGTTTGGTGCTTACCTAGACAAGAGGAGGGAACTCATAGAGCTCTTGATGCAACAACAGAGTGTCTCCTTCATAAGGTGCTACAACACCTTTACTGATGCGTAAGTACTATCTCATCCGCTAAGATTGTGAAGTACTGCTTATGGTACTGCAACAGAGATCAACCAACGATTCTTTATGCAGGGCTCTACCAAAACTGTTTCCTGCTCACCAATTTTTTTTCCGGCAAAGTTGGGTGTAAATAAGTTTTAATCAGAAAGGAAAGAGCTAAAGTTCTGACTCGAACACATTTTAAAATTTGTGTCTATTTTATTTTATGATAAAGACATTCTTTTACAACATTTCAAAACATTAAAATGGCCCAAATTCAGCCTCTATTACTTTAAATATATTTTAAGGTACAAATTCTGTTCTGCCAGAACTGTTGCGGGGAACACAAAGATCAAATTTATTATTTTGTCTGGCACGTAACTCTAAACCCAATGTGCTTGAAGTTTTAGGAGCGTTTAATAAAAAGGTCCAAATAGAGTGTTTGGATGTTAGTAACAACAATTCTAATAATTTCTTCCCCCTAGTGTTTTGAAAATGTTCAAATATTGTTTTCCATCATTAAAAAACACTAAATTAAATTCAAAATTTCCTCTTAGCACTAGAGTTCTTTTCTTTCTGATCAAGACTTTTACACACAAACTCAAGTCAATGTTTTTTCTTAGATTTGAGTCTTTCTGAGGAAGGTTTTCAACCCCCACTATACCCCGTACCTGCCTGTCATAGAGACACCTCCCCTCAAATCACTCTCTCTCTCTCTCTCTCTCTCTCTCTCTCTTTCAAGATAGACTAGCTCTAGTCTAAGACTGTCTTTGGTCGAGTTTGAAAGCTGCGTGGCGATTTGCCACGTCTTTATTGGCCACTTTCGTTGCTTTATTGAGCCAAGTCATACCAATATTGTATACATTTGAGAATAAAATCATTTCTCTCCTTCAGGATAGAAGATGATGATATTTATGGCCTCTTCAACTACAAGGCCATCAAGAGTGCTGGAGAGTATAGAAGAAAAAAGCTTTTAAAAGGGGTAAAGACACCCAAAACCTTTCATGAAGTTGATGAGATTTTGACTCACCCAGAGACAGCTTTCCTTGGTGAGACGCCTCGAGGTGTACCATGAAATTGACTCATCAGGGTATTTCCAAACAACACTACTGATCTTTATTTAAATTGCAGGACGTACTAGTGATGACCACCAACAATTCTATGTGGGTATGGTGGGGGAGGACAAGAAGGAGGCCCTATTGTTTGCCTCACCCAGGGCCATGAAAATGGTCCATTCCTCTGACACGGTGGCCTCTGATCCAACCTACAGGGTCTGCCCGAGGTTGGTTGGGGCACTGCAAGTGCTGATTCTAGCAGTATTTGTCTTTGGTCATGTAAGTACTTCTGAAAGATAAGAGTAGCAGGGGTTACAAATAGTTTTGAGTTCTGGAGGATCCCCTTACTACTTTACAGTTTTTAAATACATCTTGACCTTAATATCAACTAATAGTAAAATATTAAAAATATTGTTATCTCTTGGTTGGAGCGCCTAACAATTTTTCATACAGCGTCCAACGATACTAGGGAAATCCCAACGAACAGTGTACAATTTGACAAAAGCTGGAGTTACATAACATTAACTTTCGAGATTTATTGTTAGCCTGCCTTTCTGGTTTGATTGTTATTCATAAACTATACGTAACCCCTTAAAAATAACAGCTTACATTTCTGTGTCCATAGGCATTCCCCATAGCATTTGCTGTCATGAAGGACAAGTCCACTCCCTCATATGAGGCCATCTTGAAGGAGTTTAAGAAGATGGGCTTGAACCCAAGGGCAGCCATCACCGACTGGGAGGCATCAGAGCGTGCTGGCTGGAGGAAAGTGTTTCCCAGGAAAGACATCCTTGGATGTGTGTGGCACTTCATCCGAGTAAGTATCAAAACCTGTCACATCAAATTTTACAGAACATTAGAATACTGGTGTTGGCACAACCGTTTCAGACACAATAATGTTCACATTGGTTTAAGGGGATCCAGAACTGATTCGGCCCTCTCAGATGAGTACAGAATAGTAGGTACATGACTTGAAACCTTTCTCAAAATAAATATCCAAACTCTTCAACTTAGAATCGTGGTCCATTTTAGTTTAATCTGGTATTGG